AGAGAAGCCAGATTGCACTTGAGACTGTTTGGCTGCCTCTGGGACATTATGAACTCTATTTACTTCACAGTTCCTAATGTCTTCTCTCTTCCATATCCCCCTTCCTTTCCCCCATAAACTAATTTTCACACTTTTTCTTCTCCTTTGTGTTGAAATCTCATTTAATCGCTATTTTTTGTTCCCTTGTTAGGCCTCATCTCAGCTTTTCCTGTTGCAGACAGTCTTGCTATAGGCACCTGCTACTGGGCCTGCGTGGTTGATTCTTAGATGCGGCCCAGCCCCTGGGACCTGAACAGTGTCAATGGTACTGAAAAATTAACTGGCTTAGCCAAATATGACTCTGAATAAGCAGCATCTTCTAACAGAGTCAGAGGTCACCTTCACTGGTATAAAAATGCCCTATTCATTTTCCAGAGATGTTGCACATCAAAGTTCATTCCTAAGCCTGGCAAACTCAGGCTAGATGAGACCTTCTGAAAGCCATGACTGGTTGATAGCTTTCTCCTGTCGTTAAGGCTTCTTGAAGAAGTGATTAATAGCAATTTCATTTAGACAGGAAATCTTTAAAGGGATGACCCCAATCACTCCATATTTCTGGTACAGAAATAAGTTACTACTAGCAAACCCCACAATTTCATACCAGTACATTCATCCTATTGTCCTCCACCTGCGCAAGAACTAAGGTTGCAGGGTTGCATTCAGATATCTAAGCCCTTAGCTGGTGAGTTCTTACAGTCAGATGTGTTCTGATGACACAGAATGACCAGTTAAAAGCTGTTGAACAAGGAGGAAGGATAATTCAGTATTCTTTCACACTACACTAAACATCAGGAAACTTGTTTCAAGTCCTAGCTTTGCCTTGGAGTTTTCCCTAATCCACAGAATGTAAATGTTAACTGTGAAACGTAGCATATGCAAAGGCAAATCCATTATGAATTGTGAAATGGTAGTGAAGTGTTGGCCTCAAGTAATGGATTGAAATAAAATTATCAGTTCTGAATAGGTGTGTTGTGACTGACAATTTTGGAGATGTCTACATTAGTAAATAGTGCAGATCCTTAGGAGTGCATTTGTTAGACAGTTAATGGCATGTAACTAATATCCTTACTACATATGAATTTTAAGGGGCTCTGTTTTGCACCAGTACTATTTTGATCCTATACAGGATCAACCCCAACAACACAATACATTCCTATATCCCTTAACTTTCTGGCTAACTTGAACATGTGTGTGCATTTACAAGATCATCAATGTGTCTTTTGCATGGTCATTTGGGCATTTTCTTTCAGAACATATGTTTCTGTTGAGTATTTTATGAGAGTTTTCTCTGGGTACACAGATAATGGTTATCTTTCCTCTATCCTGCCTCCAATTTTATTTGAGCTTATAGGAGTCAACTATATTTTGACGTGTCTTTTCTCCTTTCAAGTCTGTCTGGATTTAGCCAACCAGATCACAAATTGTTAGGATGGAGACTAAACAATCGTGTATCCTTAGTGCCGTAAGAAATCAGTTTAAGTATAGTGTATCTGTGCTTCAGAAATCAAAGAAACAGCACTTTCATTAAAAATACAATGACACCATTGCAAAAGCACTAAATATTAAAGCATAGCTGTCCTCACTGCAAGCACATGAAGCTTACATTGTACATGTGCACACTCCCAGAGGGGTATAATAATACTTTACCCTCTAAAGTTCCTCCTGCCAAGATTACTAGACATCATTCTTAGAAATGTTTTAAGTATGCTAAAGCCCACTTTTCATTAAAATCAAATTATGATGAGTTTCAGAAAAGAAAAAAAAAACAAAAACAAAAAACAAACAAAAAACAAACAAACAAACAAAAAAAAAAAAAACAAGAAAGAGGGGAATAATAAGAGGGGAATAATGCAATTTTACGACAGGCATGTTGAAGGATACCTGAGGAAAAAACAGCCTGCCTGCAGCAGGCTAGCTAGCTAAAATGTTTCCCATCATCTTTTCCAGTCTCTAACTTTTAATTAAACAGTAAAAAAAAAAAAAGTAATTCTTATGACTGTGAATAAAATTTTCAACATACTGTAACGTATGCGTGAATGTGCAGAAATAATAAATCAGAGAAGTGCAGACAATTCCGTAATGTTAGACACCCACTAGTACAATGTCCTAGTAAGAAGAGAAGGTTACATGTAGTTCTTCATGCCTATATAACTGAGACAGACTGTGCTGAAGACAGGAATACGGTAAAGAATCTATCATGTCAGCAGTTCTTTTGCGATAGAGAGCAATACCTTCATAACACTTATTAAAAAACAAATGTGCAAATTTGTAGCCAGTCCAGCTTCTATTGCCAAGCACATTTAAAAGCAACTGGTCAGATACAGTCTTAGAATTTCTGAGAAAAACAGCAGATGTTTTGCTTCATTTTTTCATACCTTAAGAGCAATGAAACAAAAATGCATTCCTTGAGACTGAAGGATGGAGTCTGAAAACTGCTTTCCCTGCTCTCCATACTTAAAGTTCTCTTGCCTCCAGTTTGGAAGACAGCATTTTTATGCCCCATCACAGTAAGTGACAGGAAAGAATGTGAGAATAGGAGATGTTTTCCATTGCAGTCACTTATTTCAGAATTCTGGAGTCCGCCAACTTCTGTACATAAAACACTGTAGATGAAAAAATAATGTAAAATCCATTCAAGCCTAACCAGGATGAATGATTTTCCAGAAGGCCCATTTAGGCACATTAAGATTTCCAGTCTGTGAGATTTTACACCTTACTAGGCATTATGAAAACAATGTACCTCTTAAATGAATGTGTCTGAGTTACAGATGCGAGCCTGCTGATGAAATGGCAAGGACTACATTACACTGACAGTTACCTCTCGTAAGGCCAGTTATCTTTGTTCTCTACCTTACCTATCACGGATATTGAGAGCTACACCCCAGATGTCAGACTCAACACTCTGAAAAGCCTTAATGTCTTTAAACCCAGGACCTACTTGAACAGATGCAGGGAGCCTGAAGCAAAGAGCAGCACATACAGACAAGGTAGCTTGAGTAATTCAACCACAATAAATCTACAGTAAATACAAGAACATCTCTGGGTTTCACTTTATTACTGCCTCCCATCACACTCCAGTGAACCCAGAGTCTGTAGCCAGAGCATTCTTTTTGATCCCTTCTCATCTGCTCAGAGAAGTCATGCTGCCAACAACTAAGTCCTCAGTAGCAGAGCTAACAGCCTGCCCTGAAGTCAACAAAGCTCATGCAGCAGCTTGTGGATTTCCAGACCTTGTTGATGCTCACCATCAGCTAAAGATTCATGCAGCCCTTCTCAATACGTTGCTTGCTCACCTTTTACTATCTGAACCTTCATTAACAACCCCAGCAGAGAGGTCAGGGAGCATGAACAACCATTTTATATTCACTTCAGTCTTGCAAGGTGGGACGCTTACCTTCAAAGAAACATTCAGCCATCTTCAGCACTGCCTGTTTGCAGCTCCTATGAATGACAGCTACAGAAGAGCCTTGCAGTATTAGGCCCTGCCTAATATTTTGCCAAGGCATTACAAAAGTAGGAAAATTCCTTACATTTCAAAAGGCATCAAGACAGCTCTTTCCGTGAGCTCTAAATTCACTCAGAAATAAACCTACTACTGCACAGTTAATAAACCAAACTCAGATCAAACCCTGAGAGGATGACATATATTGCTATAAATTGAAATTGAGTCACAGAAGTACACTACAGTTTGTCTTCTGAGCATCAGTAACCCACAGGGATCTAGGATATGCCTCATAACTAGACTTCAATATATATTTATCTTCTAGATGAAAAAAGTGGTAGTACAGCATATAGTTGTGAAAGCCTGTTTCCTTCCTCTGCCACAGATTTCCTGTACCACTTTAGTCACATCAATTAGCTTCTGTCTCATCAGGGCTACAATAACCCACAGGAATGCTGGATAATAAATGTATTAAAACACTTAAATAAGATCAAGCACCCCTTAGAAGGGGAATGGCAAAGAGGCAGCATCTACAAAAGATGTGCTGAACTTCTACAAAATTGTGCAAGTAAATTATAAGTACCTATGAATTAGCGTGGATGAGATTGCATATATACAACCCAAATAGCAGAAAGCTTCTTTCTTTTTTTTTTTTTTTTTCCTAAGATACTGCTACTTAATAGACTGTTGGTATTTTAAGGACTGTTCAGAGCAAAACACTGCTTGTAGATAGATATGTATGACCCGAAGTGACATTTAGCTGGTATTACCTGTCTCAGAATCACAGCAGTTAGAACCAGTGACGCTTTTCTATTTTATAATGCTGGCATGGCAGAGGAAAAACCTAATCTTTACGTACACTTCTGTGTCTGCTTTTGCTCCTAAATGACATTAATCTGTTTCTGTTTCTGATGGGCGGGAAGATATTCTCCCGAGACTGCCATTAGGCTGTGAATGGCAATGATGCTCAACAAATGCCATGTCAAGCGAGGAGCTGGAGCAGCAGCAGGAGATCACCCAACGCAGCCCCTGCCACAGCATCTCCTCCAGGCGAGCCGTGCCCAGCCCTTGCCGATCGCTTTACGAGCAGGGCTGCAGGACTGCTCTAAGCAGCTGTTGCAGACCCAGAGCAGGTTTTCTTCCCTTCCTTCCTTTGTCCTCGCCAGCAGCTCCCACCAAGTGACTTTCCCCAGCGCCTGCATCCCGGCCCGGAGGGGCAGCGCGCTCCAGCAGCCCGCTGCTGCGAGGTGCCGCAGGTGAGCCTGCCACACCTGCCGCCAGCAGGAATTTCGGCATGACAAGCGCAGCATTAGCAACCCCCACAGGGGTGCAGAGACTCCACCGAGTCCCAGGTCGGAATCCAGCGCTTCAATTCCCCCCGGCACCGCAGACCACCGCGGGTCCAGCCCCCTCCCTCCCACCCACCGCTTATTGCCCGGAGCCTCTGCCGCCGCCGCTCCCTCCCCTCGCCCTCCCGGGGAAGTTTCCCGGTGTGGCCCGGCGCCCCCCGAGGACTCACCTCGCCGGGCCTGCCGGATCCGGGGGCTCAGCATGCTCCTTCCCTGCCGGCAGCCTCGCCTCGCCTCGCCTCGCCTCAGCGGGCGGCCCCGGGCCCGGCCGCCGCCCTCCGCCACCTCACTCAGCTCCCAGCTCTGGCTCGGGGGCGACGCTTCACGTGGGGCTAAATAAACCGTCATGCATTATTTATCCGGCCTCGAATTAATTCCCGTCCGAACTCAGCGCTGAGTGCCTCAGTAATTACTGCCGATAAATCACTAGCACGCAGACACGAGGGCTGGACCCGGCTCCTTCTGCTAATTGGCCGTGCATCGGTGTTATTAATATGCCTCTTCCAGGGAGCAGCGTGGATCCCGCATCCCCCCTCAGCATCTTCCTCCTGTCGCGTTCGACAGACGCTTCAACTCGCCAAGGACGGAGAGCTGAATCTCTCCCAGCTCGAGCTGGGGGGAAAAAAGGACACAAAGCACACGCCAAGGAGCTTGTGCATCTGCTACGGTTGTGCACTGAAGAAAACACAAAGTGTGCTGGGCCACAGGGCAGTGGCATGCAGGGAGCACCCAGGGGCTGCAGCCCTTCTGGGAAGGGAATCCAGCGAGCACCAGGGAGATGGGAGAAATGACAATGGTTACTGCAGCGCAGAACAACAGCTCTTCTCTGCACTGACAGTCTGGTGGGATGAGCACAGGGGAATGCCAGCACTCCATCCTAGCACCAGTCATTTCTATTTGCACTCCTTGCTAAGCTCTCCTTCGCCCCATCCTGGGAAGGAGCAAGTCAGCAGTGGGGAGAGTAAAGGACAGTTGACAAAATAGTTAGGTACTAGCAATTAGTATCTATAAACTACAAATAGTTGGATGAAAATCAAATCCAATTGACACATTCTGCCCCTGCTCGTAGGGCTCAAGGGCTGCTCGTAGCACGAGCCCTTTCCTCACCATCCCTATCTCTTGCCTAGCAGGTCCTTTTGCAACACAGTAAAGTAGGTAAACATCTCCCTGGCAAAGTGCATGCTCTGCAGCATCACCCTGCAGGTTTACATTGCTGAGTTGCATTGACAACAAGCACCTGAGATTGACCGCTTCTTTCTTTGCCAAGAAGATGCATCATATTTTGGATCTTGAACACTGGCCATGAAGTTGTATCTCCAGCAGTGGAAGAGGCTCTCTGGCCCTCCGCAGAAATTATACTTAGTGTGCAAGGCTGGAACAATGGCAAAGATGCTTTGGACCTTTACCTGCTTTAGCTGCCCGTAGAATCAGCTGCTTAGAAGTGATCATAAATCTGTTGAGCTCACGATGGCTGCCTCAGATTTACGCACCTGTAAATGAGGCTGGAAGTGGGATCTGTTTTGAATATGCAGGCTCCTGCAGTTATCTCCCCACTAATTATCTATATTAGCTGGGCTTCAGCATGGTGAGAAGCAGCTAACTGGTGATCCTTTGGCCAACATGCTTAGCAAACACCCTGACACCAGCAGGGGTAACCAGCAATAGCAAGAGCTGAGGGAAGTTATGCTTCCGACTTCCTATCCAGTGCCTGGATTAAAAAGTCATTCTTCCTAACAGTCCAGGAGACCTCTTTCTCTCTTGATATTTTCAGCTTTTCTCGTCCAATTTGATGCTGTTTAGATTGCATCATTTTGCACTTTGAGCAGGAAATCAAAAGGTGTGTACAGTAACACATAACAAGAAATAAAGTGAACTGAACTTCTAACCTCACAGGAAACTGGTGACACTTCTTCCTGCTAAGTCACTTATCATGAGAGCTTGATTTCATCTCTGGGGAAGGATATTATATATAAATAATTGATTATCATGTTCATGGGTGAAATGAAAACACTCAAATAAATAACAGCCATGTTCAACCCTAGATACTAGCTTTGAAGTCTTTTTGGTTAATTGAAAACAAAGTACTTAGTGTAAACAGAAGCATTCCATTTGATCCTGTTTGAAATGTTTTGCTTTGACATCAAGATTATCAGCCCTTCTTAAAGCAATTTTCAAATCAAACAATTTAAATATTTTTTTAGAAGTCAAAAAATTCCTATTTTTTCCACAGATCAATCATAAGAAATTCATATCTGAGTCTCCCAGATGTACTTTTATGGGAAAATAAACTGTCAGGGGAAAAAACAACAACAACAACAAAAACTATTAAAAATTGCCAGCTAGGAGAGAAAAAAAATCATCTCAGCACTGAAGGCTGCAGTGCTTTGCTCTGACAATTTAAAGTACTTCCTGAAAGAAAAACTGAGAATAGGTCCAACAGAAAGGTAACCTAGCAAGTGTCATGGGTGAACCAGAGCCTATGGGAATGTTTAACCACTGAAGACTGTATACCAACCTACCTACACTGAGCAGGATAGCTGGGGCAAGAGATCTCAATGGTTTGTACCTTAAGTCGCTCACAAGTTTCAGAGCCTCTTTCCATCCTACAGGCAGTTTCTTGGGATGCGTGTCCCTAGGCTGCACCACCTCCACTGAACCACACCTCAAAGGACCCCTGCCCTTGAAGTATGGCTGGGGATGTCCTGGCTCTGCCTCAAGTGCTGCTTCATCTGTAACCCAGGTCACCTCTTCACCTGTGCCTGCCCCACACCACGGCCAGATGCTCCTTCCACATATGTACCTGACAATATGACTTCTTAACAAATATACATACACCCTTCTATATAAAAAGCAACTCTGTAGAAGGCCATGCAGTAGGGGGAAAAAATAAACTTAAGTAACAGCTGATTTGGCTTATTCTCTCTGTATTAAGCTGTTTCATTGCTAAATGGAAACTGAGAAAAATGGAAATACAGCATTATGACATAAGCTCCCCCCCTCCTATTTGGTGTGGGTATCTTTGAATAGAGTTTAAGAATACCCTGATCAGAGAATTTGAACAGAGATACCAGAAAATGCACCTGTGTGGTCTCCCCAGCTTAAGGATACCTAAAGTCACATGCTGAACCTCAGTGTAAATCTTTGTACTAGTAATTCTAAACAACATACATCTGTTGCTTCAGAAAGTCCCTAGCAGTCTGGGGCTTATCCTGTTCTAGAGCTAGGTCAAAGATGAACCAGTTCCCCAGGCTTCTTAAAAAGATCAGTGAAGCTCTGTGGTTGTAGACAATAAGACCACTGTGACTGATCTGAGGCAAGAGGGTCCCTCCTGATGGCTTGAGATAACATTTATGTGTGTACCTATTACTGGAAATCACTGGTCTAGATACAGACTGTCTGTGCGTCACAGAGCAGTAACCATCTACAGGGTGAGAAAATAGGAATCGGCTGACTAACCAAGGACTAGAGAACTGTTATTATCTGCTTCTTGTGTGAATCTAAAAATAAATGCGTTCCTTAATTATCTGTCACCTCTTTGGAATGTGGAAAAAACATTCTGTATGTCACAAGTGTTTACCATTGATTGTTAAGCACATAATGATAGCAAATGGTATGGCCTAAGGGTTAGAAAACTTGAGTAGAGTGTGGAGGTGAAGCCTACAGAATTAATGCTGACTCATTTCCCTTGGTCACACGAAAGACACTGAGCCCCAGGCCCTATCCACCTCCATGCAGTGTTTTGAGACCTGGGATTGGCAAACATTATCTAAATCCAGTGGATGATAATGTTAGTAAGTTATTGCAGTGGGGACACTCATAGAAGATATGATTCATCTGCTGGCGCCAGGGCTGATGGCTAGAGGCTATGAAACATGTCGGGTACTTGCGACGGAAGAGTGCGTGGGCCAGTGAAGTTGCTGAATCTGTGTGGGGGGCATTGAATGGATCTCTATTTCCCCAGGCTGCATGTGCAGCATGCTGTCACCCACCAATTACTGCATGGCATATCCTTCTTTCCTCCTCCTCATCTTCTGCTACCATATGCAGGCCAAGGACTTGTTGTAACTAGCTGATTGATACATTCTCTTTACTCATCAGCAAGATGGGTCTGGATTAAAGCCCAAGATCTAATCACCCTGGACTTTGGCACCATTGAAAACCAGATCCAGTTTGTTTAGATTGCAACTTCATTTGGTTAGAATTTGTTCTCTTACTGTATAAAATGAAGTTGATGGAAAAGGATCCAAAGAAGAAAGGACTTTGGTATGCATTTTCAGATCAATAATTGCAGCAGCATTGCCTTTGCAAGACAAGCTGGAATAAATATGTGTATAGGAACTGTGGAAATTCTCTTGCTAAATAAGATTGAGCAGTAAATAGGTATCGTTTGAAGTATCTAATGACCAGAAGAAATTTCAATTTGATATGACCTTTGCTTCCAGGCTAAGCGATCAAAACCTCTTGAGGATGCTGCCATCTGGTTTTCCAGGTGAAAAGCATTGCCAGTCTTTCAGCTGTCAGTAATCAGCATTTTTATTGGCACTCTTAGAAGACACAGCAAGAAATATGTGGACCTTTAAAAATGACCTCTAGTGCCAGGTAAGTGGATAATGCATGATGGAGGATGCTGTGTTGATGCTCTAGATCTGCTCTGGAAACAACTGAAAGCTTGAAGGGTATTTTTGTGGTGGTGGTGGGGAAAAAGTCAACAGTTCAGAAAAAACTTCAGAGATTATCTGTAACTAAAACATAAATGGAGCAATTTCTTTAGGTTTGGGTTATTTTATTTACTTATTTATTTATTTTAAGTAAGCCTAATGGCATCTTGGGTCTCCCAGAGGTAATATTTTTCAGATGAGGCAGTGAATATGCCAAACACTTCTAGGCTACTAAGAGAGGGCAGAATTATGATCTTACAGAAAAACAATCAGAAACAGCAGAGTGAAGCTAGGCAATTTTTGGGTATCTTTAACAATCTTTTGCAGTCAGTGTTCCTTTCTATCTAGTCTCATTCCACAAGTAGGTCAAGAACATTCATCTTTCATTTCAGGCTGTATGAGCTTCTCCAGAGAGCAGCAGCTACAGCCTGAGAGAAGGCTGTAATACAGCTGTCATAAACCTGAGTATGGGAAGAAACTAAACAAGCAGCCATAATGGTGATGGCCAAAGATGGCTTCAATTTTTCCTCTTTCTGTGGTGATGAACATGCTGAATGCTTATATCCCTACAAGACCTCTTCTGCTACTGTAGCAAATACCTGAAAACCAGTTGACTTAATTTGAAAGTGTGCCCCTCAGATAGGAGTATTAGGTATTTTGCTTAGGTGACCTGCAAACACAGTTAGAGAATTGTGTTATTCTTCATGGTAGATAAAGAAAACCTGAATTTGTATTTTCTTTCCCTCTTTTTTGTTTACTGCTGACAAACACCAAAGATGTTGATGTGCCCTTTTTCTGGTCTTGCTATAAGCATAATGGTCTCTGACCATATTGAGGGGGTGTAATATACTAAGGAGAAGGAAAATCTTTAACAGAAATTTCTGACTTCTGATAAGTCATTATACAA